ACAGTCATCCCAGAACAGGGGGGACCAGAACAATCATCCCAGAACAGTCATCCCAGAACAGGGAACAGGCCACGCTTTTGGGGCCTCTGAGTGGATTCACTGCTCTTTAAGCTGGGCCTGAATTCATCCCAGCTGCTTTCCAAACTGGAGCAGCCTGTTCAGCTCAGAGATCACAACACTGTGGGACTTGTTTTAATGTAAAACCAGATTATTTGGGGGCTTAGTGGATTTTTTTTTGTGGGCATTTCAAGGAGTGGGAGGGGAATTGTGGCAATAACTCCCAGATTTTCCCACTTCCCTTTCTTGCAGGTTGCACTTGAGAGGATTTCAAGGAACCTAGTTTTAAAGATTCGTTTACTTTTTTTTTTAGCTAGCAAATGTTAGATTGACTTTAAGAAAACTAACTTTGAGTTCTTCAGACTTTTGATGGGAGGAAAGGGAGTGTTTTTCCCTGACAATACAGCCCCTGCCTCAGGCAGAACCCCTAATAATAAAGTCTTTGCCTGGAGGCAATAAGGAATTTAGAGCAAACAGGCAGATCCCTGTGGCCTGTGCAGCTCAGGGTCAGCTGCCTGAGGAGGGAAATCCATGCAGGGAAACTCTGAGCTTTGTCATCCTGCACTGCTGGGAAGCTGCAGCAGGTGCTGAGGTGTTTCCCACCCTCGGCCTTTTTTAGGCAGAAAAGGTTTTTGTGGTGATTTTAGTGGTTCCTCCCAGTTGGCCAAGTGCTGTTGGAGTTGGGTTTTTCCTGACAGGATCAGTGAGGAGCTGGAGCTCGTGTTGTAGAGGTAGATGTGCTAATGCCGTGTGTTTTTCTGCTCATAGCATGGACCCATTCATATGACTAATTTAGGTACAGGCTTCTCCAGTGCGAGCGAACTCGAGGGAGCCGGGGCCAAGGCAGCAAGTTCCTCAGGAAAGGAGAGAGAGAGGGACAGGTGAGTGGGGGCAGAAAGGGGCCCAGGGCTTCTGCTTCTCCTGGGAAACTTATTTCAGGGCTGCTTCGTGTGACTCAGGGTTTGTTTTGTTGTGGGGGGTTTTTTTGTATTTTTTAATGTGATTTTTCTGTATTTTTTTGTGATTTTTTTTAATTTTTAATGTGATTTTTTGGTATATTTTTAATGTGATTTTTTAAATATTTTTAATATGATTTTTTTAATATTTTAATGTGAATTTTTTGTATTTTATGTGGTTTTTTGTATATTTTTAATGTGATTTTTTTGTATATTTTTAATGTGATTTTTATATTTTTAATGTGATTTTTTGTATATTTTTAATGTGATTTTTTGGTGATTTTTAATTTTTTTTGGTGATTTTTTGGTATATTTTAATGTGATTTTTTATATATTTTTAATGTGATTTTTTTGTATTTTTTTGAGGTTTTTTGTATATTTTTAATGTGATTTTTAAAATATTTTTAATGTGATTTTTTTAATATATTTTTAATGTGATATTTCTTATTTTTAAAGTGATTTTTTTGTATATTTTTAATGTGACTTTTCGTATTTTTAATGTGATTTTTGTATATTTTTAATGTGATATTTTTGTAATTTTTAATGTGATATTTCATATTTTTAATGTGATTTTTTTTTATATTTTTAATGTGACTTTTCGTATTTTTAATTTTTTTTTTATTTTTAATGTGATTTTTTGGTATTCTTTTAATGTGATTTTTCATATTTTTAATGTGGTTTTTTGTATTTTAATGTGGGTTTTTTGTATTTTAATGTGGGTTTTATATTTTTAATGTGATTTTTAAAATTTTTAATTTAACGTGATTTTTGGTATATTTTTTAATGGAATTTTTTGTATTTTTAACACGATTTTCAGTATTTTTTTTTAATGGAATTGTTTGCATATTTTTTAAGGTAATTTTTTGTATTTTTAACACGATTTTTTGTATATTATTTAAATGGAACTTTTTGTATTTTAACGCGATTTTTGGTATATTTTGGTAATTTTTTATATTTTTAACGTGATTTTCAGTATATTTTTAATGGAATTTTTTATGTTTTTTAAGGTAATTTTTTGTATTTTTAACACGATTCTTGGTATATTTTTTTAATGCTATTTTTTATATTTTTCGAGGCAAGTTTTTTGCATTTTTGGGGGGTTTAATTACTTTTAATCAGCTTTCATTAGTTCTGCTCCCAGCACAGCCCCTGTTCCCATTCCAACTGCGAGTCAGGAATTTGGGATTCATGGCCTTTGACTCCTGTTCTGCTGTAAAACCCAGGAATATTGAGGTTTTTCCTTGTAAAACCAGGAATACTGAGGTTTTTCCTTGTAAAACCCAGGAATATGGAGGTTATTCCTTGTAAAACCCAGGAATGCCGAGGTTTTTCCCAGGAATATTGAGGTTTTTCCTTGTAAAACCCAGGAATATGGAGGTTTTTCCCAGGAATATTGAGGTTTTTCCTTGTAAAACCCAGAAATATTGAGGTTTTTCCCAGGAATATGGAGGTTTTTCCTTGTAAAACCCAGGAATATGGAGGTTTTTCCTTGTAAAAGCCTGGAATATTGAGGTTTTTCCTTGTAAAAGCCAGGAATTCTGAGGTTTTTCCTTGTAGAAGCCAGGAATATTGAGGTTTTTCCTTGTAGAAGCCAGGAATATTGAGGTTTTTCCTTGTAAAAGCCAGGAATTCCAAGGTTTTCCCTGCTCCCACAGGCAGTTGATGCCTCCGCCGGCGTTTCCCGGAGTGAAATCGGAGCCTGAGGACAGGAAAGGTGCGGGGGCTGTGCCCGGCAGCCACGGTGAGTGTTGGGTGTCACAGCCCTGGGAGTCACAGCCCCTCGGGACAAACCTGCTGCTTGCCTTGGAGGGGGCTTTCTGCATTTGGCTTCTTTTTTTAATGTCTTTTTTTGGGTATTTTTAATGCAGTTTTTTTGTATTTTAATGCAATTTTTTTGTATTTTAATGCAATTTTTTTGTATTTTAATGCAATTTTTTTGTATTTTTAATTCAATTTTTTTTGTATTTTTAATGTGATTTTTTTGTATTTTTAATGCAATTTTTTTGTATTTTTAATGCAATTTTTTTGGTATTTTTATTGCAATTTTTTTCTATTTTTTAGCTGATTTTTTATCTTTTTTTAATGTGATTTTTAGTAATGCGACTTCTTGTATTTTTATGTGATTTTTTTCATGTTTTTAATGGGATTTTTTTGTATTTTTGTGTGATTTTTTTGGTGGTTTTTTAATGCAATTTTTTGTATTTTATGTGATTTTTTTGTATTTTTATGTGATTTTTTAATATTTTTAGGTGATTTTTTTTATTTTTTAGCTGTTTTTTTGTCCTTTTTTTAAGCTTTTTGTCCTTTTTTTGTCTTTTTTAATGTGATTTTTGTATTGTTAATGTGGCTTTTTTTGTATTTTTTTAAGGTGATATTTTTGTCTTTTTTAAGCTGATTTTTATGTCTTTTTAATGCAATTTTTTTGTATTTTTATGTGGGGGTTTTTTGTATTTTTAAGATGATTTTATTGTATTTTTAAGATGATTTTTTTGTATTTTTTTAAGATGATTTTTTGTATTTTAATGGGATTTTTTGTATTTTAAATGGGGTTATTTTGTATTTTAATGTGATTTTTTGTATTTTTAAATGGGATTTTTTCGTCTCCCCCCATCCAACCTTTTTGAAATGGGACTTTTATGTCTTTTTTATGGGTTTTTTTTTGTTGATTTTGGGATTTTTTTTGTATTTTTATGGGATTTTTTGTCTTTTTTGAATGGGATTTTTTGTATTTTTATGCGATTTTTTTGTCTTTTTTTAAGCTGTTTTTTGTTCTTTTTTAGCGCGATTTTTTGTCTTTTTTAATGTGATTTTTTTCTATTTTTATGCGATTTTTTTATGTGGTTTTTTGTATTTTTAATGCGCTTTTTTGTATTTATGCAATTTCTTATTTTTTTTTCAGCTGACTTTTTGTCTTTATTTAAACGGAATTTTTTTGTATCTTTACGTGATTTTTTGTATTTTTTAAGCTGATTTTTTGCCTTTTTTTAAGCGGGATTTTTTTCTATTGTTACATAACTTTTTGGGATTTTTAAGGTGATTTTTACGTGACTTTTTTGTATTTTTTAAGCTGATTTTTTTGTATTTTCCCATGACGTTTTTACCCTTTTAAGGTGATTTTCTGCCTTTTCTCCCAGCCCCGCTCAGCTGTGTGGGTGCCCACCCAGCTCTGCCTCCTCCCTTCCATCCCGATTCCCACTTTTCCTTAGGAATTGCCCTTTTCCGGGTGCCCCCTTTGCTAACTTTGCCTTTTTTGTGTGTTTCTTTCTCGTTTCTCTCTTCTCTTCCATGGTTCTGACGGATCCACGCCCGTCCCGCTCCCGTGGCCTCCCTTGGATCACCGTCGGCCTCCCGACCTCCACCCGGTGTCCAACTAACAATTGACAATTAACATCTTTTTTTGATTATTTTTTAATCACCGTTATCATCGTTAATAACTCGTTTCGGGGCGTTTTATCTCTTTGTCGTTATTATTTTATTTTTTTTTTTTATTTTATTTTCCTCGGTGGGCTCGGGGGGGTTGGGGGTTGGGTTTTTTTTTGGTTTTTTGGTTTTTTCCCCCCTCCTTTTTAGATCCTCAAGCCAAGAAGCTGAAGGCTGGCGAGAAGGGCTTTGGGCTGGTGGCCTACGCCGGGGACTCGTCGGACGAGGAGGAGGAACACGGCGCCCACAAAAACGCAAGTACCTTTTCACAGGGCTGGAGTCTGGGGTACCAGTACCCCTCCTCCCAACAGAGAGCCAAACAACAGATGCCCTTCTGGATGGCTCCCTAAAACCCGCACAGGAATTTTGGTTTGGTTTGGTTTTTTTTGGTTTTTTTTTTTTGGCATCCATCTGGGTTTTTTCCTCTCCTAGCAATAATTGCATGGATATCCCAGAACGAACTGGGCAAAAAAAAAAACAAAGGACACCTCGTTTTTACGTTTGCAGAAGCCAATTTTCTTCTTCCCCTTCCCTGGAGAAGCCAATTTTCTTCTTCCCCTCCCTGGAGAAGCCAATTTTCTTCTTCTTCCCCTCCCACCTCGGAAGGATTTTAAAAAAAATCCTTGTTTTGGCAGCGCCTTTGTCGATTTAAAAAGAGAAGATTTGGAGTAGTGCCCTCCCTTATTTACACGAGGGAGAAGCAAAGAGGAGCCAGGGAAGCCTGTTGGGCCAACGTGTCCCAGTTTTTCCAGGATTTTTCCAAGAGAACTCAAAGGGAAGAGTCGGTGAAGCCACTGCCTTCACTCCACACCTGGTGTTGGCATTTTACTCCTGCTGCCCCAGCTGCAACTTTGGACTTTTCACCAGAGGGAAGGAACATCCAGGAGTTGTGGAAAAACTGAAAACTCTTTGATTTTTACTTCAGGCGTCTCCCATAACTCGGCACTGCTGGTTTTTTTCTTGGAAAAGTGGTTTTCCTGACCCCACAGCTCTCACTCTTTGGAATGCTCAGGTTTTTGGATGGGTTCACGTTGCCCCAGCTGGACCTGGCACTGCAGCTCTGGGACTGAATCTCCTGCAGTCACCCTGCAACTCCCCCCAGCCAGCAGCTGGACACAATTCCAGCAGAATTCCAGAAGGTTCCAACGAGGGGTTTCCCAAAGGCAGGGGGGGCAGCACTTGGGTCCAGCAGCTCCTGGGAGCTGGGAATGAGCTGTTGGATTGTGCACGGACACAAACTGCCCC